ACAATTTTTTCCATATTTAGGTTTTAAAAAGTCGTACAGAAAACTGTACATCGTTATTTTCGATATGTCTAAGATGGACATGGACATACCGATAATTATTGGTTTATTCATTTTAATATGTGTTTTTTGTAACTCGATTAGTGCTAAATCTTCACCGAAAATTTTACATTTTTTGAAATTCGGCCGAGAAATTGACATGCTTGCACCACATCGCCCACCCCACTTGTTGACAAGTTTGATATCTACACGTAAACGCAGATTCTCTATCGTTTTACCAAAGACGGAGTTTATCATATATTTAGGCCTTAGGCCTCAGTCACACTGAGTTGTAAACAATGTTTACAGCAACAAAAATCTGTATACCGCTTTGTGACCACAAGAAAAATCTACAAATCATGTTTACAGTAAATGTTGCACAGCAATTCAAGCCCGAAATTTCACCGACAAGCGATATAGCGAGTAATTTGATCAACAGAATTTAAAAGCAAAAACACATCCAAATGAAAAGTCAAAACAGAAGAAAAAAAGACATGTGACAACACAACAAACAGCCAAAATCGACCGAAATCAATATTCAACTGGAATTTTTGCAATCGGCGTATCAGTGGAACGTACCAACGGTGAACCCTAGAGTAGAATTTAAACTAGAAAGAATAATCTAAATTTCATGCGAATTCAACTTGATTGAATGTGTTCATTCGATTGAACTATTTATTAAAACATTGTAAACAATGCAAACGAAATTCCAACGGAATCTATTAATTTTAATATTTGGTGTTACGGATTTCAATTATTCAAAATCAGCGGTATTTCCATGCTGTTCGATTGTCACTTCATGCAGGTGAATTTGATCGCCAAACAAAAAATCATTGGTGTGGTACTCGAACAAGTTTTTATCAGGCATCGAGACTGGTGTGAGCGGTTCGTATACGACTACATCATTTTCATTCACATTGACGTTGGCATCTTCATCGGCGATCAATTTGAACGACAAATTTTCGATTTTGATTCTGTTCGGTTCAGCTATCCATTCTTTCCGGCCATCCTTGTAAAGTAAACGCTTCACTTCGAATCGAATTGCGAATGTATCGGTTTCGCAAACTTCGTTTGAAGCCGGCTTGGCTTCGATGTTTTCTTGAACCGCAATGCTGTTTGATGGTTCACCGGAATCGCTGTTCGCTGATTGTTCATCCGAAACAATTTGTTTGCGCAGGCGGCACGACTGTTTTTTATGGCGTAAAAGGGACGAACCTTTCATTTGCGAACCACATTCGCACTTTTCCAATTGTTTGTCGTGTACATTTTTGATGTGTCTTGTAACTTTTCAGAACGTAGTTTGGGTTTTTCTGAATGTGGTGGCTTTGTCCGGCGCAATGAAGCCTTTTTGTTATGGCTTACTAATGTTTGCGATCGAGTTTTCATTTTGTAAATCGACTTTTTCGAAATGGCAAGCTAAATCTCACAAGTGGTTTCTTCAAACGCTCACTCTCAAATGCGTACATTCATGACAATGCACATTCATACATGATATAAAGATGGATATGAGGATGAGGATGAGGATGAGGTTGAGGTCGAGGTTGAGGATTGTACGTGAGAATCGATGAGTAACATGCAATATGAACAAAATTTGATTTTACTAAAAGTCCACCAATTCCGAACCAATAGAATCTGAATGAAATTTCAATTTAATAAAGAATGACGATCTCTCACGAAAAACAAATTTCATGCTGAAAAATATGGAAATCCATTTGAATGAACTGTTTTGTTGTTTGATTCACAGTCTCCAAAACGGTTTAGTGAATTGAGATTAAATTCATTGGAAAAACGTTGTTTATTTATCTTTACATTGGAATTTTTATTCGATAAGTTTAGGAGAGCAGTGACACACATTACGCATTTCAGAAGAAACTCGATCGTCGTTTACTTCAAACCATATCATACTGCCATGCAACTTCACCTTCTGTACTCATAAAGTAATTCTTCAGTCGCTCTCGAACATCTTTTGCCTCGTTTGTTTCACTTTGGCCATTTGGTTCGATTCCATTTCCGTGTTCTCCATCATTCAGAAGATCAAACTCTCTCGTGATTGAATCATCTGGATTCATGGTCATCAACCAATTATGAAGAGCACACACAGCTAGAATACACAGCTTAACGTTTTTTTCACTCAGTTCAATCGTTTTCCTAAAAAGTCGGAATCTCGAAGCCATAATGCCGAATGTGCTTTCCACCATACGGCGACCTCTCGATAATCGATAATTGAACACATGTTCAGCACGATTTTGGAAAAGATAGTTACCTGTTTTGGTAATTTGCACGCGCCGGATTCCATAAGTCCGGTTCTGCTTCGTATAGTTCGATCAAAGCTCTTATTTCACTTTTTTCCCAGGTACGGTTTACTTTTCGTTTATTTTCCATGATCAATTTTATTTTTTTTGATTGTTTGGCTAGCGAACACAACACAACACGAAAGATGAAAGAAGCTGAGTAATACCTCAACCTCAACCTCATCCTCATTCTCTCATGACATATGTGGTCACACAGATAATTATGTGCAAGAATGTGACCACCATGTAAACATCGCATGGCAACATTTACTTGAAACATGATTCGTATCAAACTCCACATCATGCAGCGCAAACGCCAAGATACGGTCAATCAACGCCAAGTGCGGTGTTTGCACATCCAAAACCACCTGCACAAAATCGACCGAGATCGAATCAGTATCAGGGAAATCACTCGAGCTCACAGAATCAACAATATGCGGGTGGAAATCGGCCACGCAATTCGCATCGCGCTTCACCTCACGTGCCTAGTCCTCGGAACCGATACACACCGACACAAGGATCGCACAGCAGTCGGCCACACCATCAAAGCCAATCGTATTCGAAACCAAGCGCAAGTAACGGCGACGACGATTGGGACAATGATTGGGATGGTGCACCAACGCAAAGGACTACACCAAAGTAAGTGTTGAGAGGGAATGAAATATTTTGTACCTTTTTACCGGCTGATCTGAGTTGGAATTAATGGAATTTTATGGCTTTTTACAGACAAAACAACAAATCTTCGTATTCAGCCGAAGATGACTGGGATGAAGCATCGGCCAGTTGGGAAGCTCGAGTTGCATCGTAAGTTCGAACTTTCGAAAAAAATTCACTCATTCTGATATCAATCATTAAGCATTTTTCTGAGTTTTTTTTTCGCAATAGATAACATTTTCAATAACTCTTATTTTTGACTTCATTTTCTAGGAAATCGAATACCCCACGTTTCGATGATAAGAGCAAACAAACACAGTATCAAAGTGGCAAGAGTCCACGTTCCGTTCGAAGTACGCTGCGCACCGATACCTCGCCCCGATCAATGACTCTCGGCGATGCAACGCCACTGTATGACGAAAATATTTAAACTCATTCAATGCAGCAACAACCTCATTATCTAAAACAGAAAAACAATTAGGTTAATTTATAATGGAATCATCGCCAATTGCTTATTTATTCCAATTGCTATGAATTGCTTTGTTGTAAATCACTCCAAACAGCAGAAGAAGCAAGGAAACAAAAACAAAATATTTGATTGACGAACGAATATTTTCTTATTTCGGTAATAAAAACAAAACAATTGAATGAAAATTCAGTGGATTTTTTTAAAAATATAAATGCGTTTTCTTTCGATTACACAAATCGATCATTACGGAATTATCAACTTTTTTCTCTTTTTTTTTTGAAGTTTAAACCAAATTTGCATTATCTAAATTTATTTGTTTTATTACGAAATATTTTTATTTTAAATGAACTTATCTTGAGTTCTCTACTGAATCATGTTTGATTGTTTGATTTATCAATTAACTCTCCATTTGTCGCGATTGAATGAAGTAACAATTCAAAGTAAATTATTTTGATCAATACAAGTAGCCAGAATATAAATAAATAATGATATCCAAAAATCAATATGAATAAAGTATATCATTTATACAAAATCATTATTTCGTGTGTTTTTTTTGCATGATTTTTTTACCTTACAACTCTTAATTCACAACTTATTTCAACAGCCACTTGAAATTTGAACATTCATTTATTGTAATCCGGTTCATGTCCACAATCCATGGAACTCTCAACAGGTTGAATCAATTCGACATCAAATCAAGAGACAAACTTTACGCTTGTAATGAATTCTAATCTAAATATAATGGGTCACAATCATTCCAACGATTCTTTTAATACTAAATGCCCTAAGCAATTAATAAATTGGGTGATAAAGAGTGGTGTAACTCATTGAAGAAATTGTAAATCATTGATAAAGTTTATAATGTAGACATTTTTATTGAATAAACTATTACTCATAATATTAATAATTATAGCCTTTTCTCGATCAATTGTATTATAATTCAGTATTTGAATCGATACAAACAGATCGAGAGCTCAGCTCTCCCGCTACAAATTGTATTACAAACTGAAGCAAAAAATTTATTCAACAAAATTAATTTTCTTCAAAAAATCATTCATAATTATTCATTTCAGAAAATGTGGTTCAAAATCGATTTACTTCTATCGTTTATTCTGCTTGCATCAGGTATCTTGAATTTTTAACTAGTTCAATTAAGAACATTTTATTTTAATTTTCAAAAAAAAAAATGTTTTCCAATCAAATTTTTTACATTTCTTTTCTTGATTTCTTAATAAATTATCTTTATTTAACAATAATTTTTTTTCTGTTTTTTTCAACAGGTGCTTCGATTGAGTTAGAGCCCATGTCTCAATTGGACGGGAGAATTGTTGGCGTCAAAATTGACATTTTATTTTATTTTTCTTCGTCGAGTTTTTTCTTCATTTCGCGAATTTTTTTTTCGCAGTACCATTATAGGTATTGAGCAAGCTTCCTATCAAGTATCTCTAACCAGTGTTATACTGTGTGAAAGGCGATAGGATGATGGCAACTAGTTCAATATTTGTTAGACAATCAGTGTTCAACGGCAACAAGTTGCAAAAGACATAAAAATAAAAAAAATATCAATATATAAATAGATTTGTATGTGTGTGTGTGTGTAGATTGAAATACAAAGACAAATTAACAAACTTTGAGCATTTGTCTGCTTTGGCAAAAAATTTGTTGCTAAAGCTGATGCTATAGTTCAATTGTGTTTATGTTCGAGCGATGCAAAAACCATTTGGGATCTGGTTAGATAAACATTGTGATTGATGATCGATTGGGTAACCATATATGACCATAAATAGCTATTGTTATAAAAGTTGTACCATTCTCGAAATGTAATTTACTACTACTTGTTTCATTTTCACCGAATAAGGTCATCATCTTGAAATGCTTATACAAACTACTCAGATGTTGGTTGTAAACATCAGAACAAAATCTTCACTTAAATATTATTTTCTCCTTTTTTATTGAAAATACAGAAACTGTTTGTTTATTTCATCAGAAGTGTTTGAACAACAAGTGTGTAACCGAATATTTCTATTTATTTCTTAAAACAAATTCATGTTATCTTTGCATCTTATTACTTAATATATGTATATACATGTAATTCAAAAACAATCAACTCTTCGGCTTACTTAGCAATAATTATTTTTTCTTTTTACGTTCATATTCCATGGATGGATCTCCTAAATCTTCTTCCAATTTACGCTTTACCGATTTTTCACAATCAACACCCACTTCATATATAACTTCTGGGCGAATTCTTTTACATCATTACGATAAATATGGA